CAAACACACACACACACATCCCCTTCTTTGTAACAGGGAGGAACGCTGCAATTCATTTACTGACTTTGAAAACTACGCTGCCAGTAAACACGGAGAACGTCATCAGTTGCGAGCACCGACGGAAAAATCAACAGTGCAGAAGTAGCGAGAGAAAAAAAAACATCCTCTTGTTATCTGAGCTTACCATGAGTTGTTCCCCTGCCTGGTCCCTTCTGACCGCCACTCGCTGCAGCAGGGTCTCATGTTTCAGGCCCCCATGGCACCGGGGCAGACCACCACCAACCCCCAACCCCTTCACACCATGCTGGTGCTCTGGCGGCCTCTCCCGAGGTGGGCAGGGGTCCTTGCAGGTTTGGGAGGCGGGTAAGGGCCATTGCCGCACCGCCCGTTCTGAGGGTAAGGTGGAGGCTTCTGAGTTTTTGAACTGGAGGTGCTGTTCCCAATGATGACCTTAGGGTCCAGAGTCTGTGGGTGGGAGTCTGGGTGAGTTTGGGGGTACAGGTGAGGCGGGTGGCCGTTCACACGCGGCCTTTCGTGGTTGGCGTCCTTACTGTGGCTGGGTCTGGTGAAGCAGCTGGTTTTAACCACAGCTGCCATGTGGACAGGGGAGGGAGAGTTAGTCCTCAAGATGATGCGCTCCTCGTGGACGTTTTGTAACACCAGGACCGCAGCGGGCTTGTGATTGGGCAGCGGGGCCGCCCTGGTGTCACCGGAATGAGCTGAGCTGTCAAAGTTATTGGTCAGTCCCTGAATGCTGCAGGGCACCTCCTCGCTGAGGTCAATACTGGCTGTGAGACGATCAATCTGCTTGACCACCTGAATGATAATAAAGAAGGTCAATACTTGTCCAAACTGCAGCCATGGAAAATAACTTGCGGACATTCTGAACTGTAAGAGTATATACTTGTGAGCGGTTGTCAAGATAAGTACCTGAACTTTGCTTGACTTTGTATTTTTGCATTTAGTGCAACTTTATCCTCAACTTTATTTCAGAAGTAAACATTTTCTTGACTCAGAAAAGGAATTAACATGAAATAAAATGATAAAAAGCAGAATATTGTTGAGGTTAAACCTGTGGTTCCAGAAGATTTGTTTAGCAGGAATTTCTTATCTCTTCCCTCCCTCATCCCATGACCTCTCAGATCTGTCAGGTGACACTTTGGGATGAAGCTGCTGGAGTAAAATATCCAAACAGTCACAGGGGCTGATTTCAAGATACAATTCCTCTTCCTCTTGATACTTGAGGTACATTGAGCTCATAAATCCTCTGTTACTTTGCTTAAGTATGATTTTACTGCAGGATTTTACCCGTAAATTGAGTTTTCTATTTCCAACCCCACTGCCAAACAGTATTTACAACCACAAGCTCTGACTGTGCTAAAACTGAAGTCATACTCAGCAACTCAACCGACCTCTCAGACCCAAGCTGTTTTCAGATTTCCTTTGTTTTGAAACAGTTTAAATTCACAATCGGCGATGATTTGATTTTAAATGTTGATTCGATGTGGTTCCGGGCCTCGCACAGATGCATTCAGCTGTGAATCAATGCTATTCCACAGCTGCATGCAAAATGGATACTGTAAGAGTGAGGCATAATTCAGCAACAGTCTCAAGCCAGGCTTTTTAATGCGCTGGTAGGGAGACTGCCAACTTCAGGCAGCGTTCTGCAAAAGGTCAGTGCAAATCGTTCTCAATCACTGTTTCAGTAAGAGACGATGACTGAGTCAACAACAATGCAGTCAGCATGTACACACACACACACACACACACACACCCTAATTATGCTCTCATGCTCTAAACAGACACACAACCTGTGACTAACTGATCTGCCCTGTGACTCATTTGTAAGCATCGCAGCTTAATCGCTTTAAATGTCACAATGTCCAGGGGAGCCTCGATGAAAGGTTTGGACATCTGCACCTGACGCCAACCATTGTGTTCAAACATCCGATTCACATCTTTTCAATTAATAGAATAGTGTGATAACAACGGAGCCTCCTACCTCTCTCATCTCCACGTGAACTTGCTTCAAACCGCCCAACACATCCTCCAGGTCTGTCACCACTTGTCTGATCTGATCCCTCACCGAGTCCTCCCTCCTCTTTGGCTTCACTACCTCAGAAGCCTGGTGCTGGTGGTCGACGGTGGGTGTCGGTTTTGAGGTTTCCGCACTGGTGATGCCAGAGGGAGGGATGCAGGGCCCCTTCCGTTTGCTTTGGTTCAAGTGTTTTTGCGGGACTTCAGTGGGGAAGAAACCTTTGTGGGAGCCGCTGCGTCCGTTGTAACCTTCCTCTGATCCACCCCTGCGTTTGCCCAAGTCCTGATGGCTATCTCTTTCCTGCCCTCCCTCAAAAATGACTGGCCTCGGTCCACAGTGGCCATTTGGCACGGGTAAATGACTCGAAGGGGAACAGTGCGGCTCCATGTGATGGCTCTCAGAGATGCATTCACATCCTTCCTCTTCCTCATCCACGCACACATACCTGACAGTCCTCCTGTGTCTGTATCCTTGACCTTTGACCTGAAGATGAGGAAGAGGATGTGGCGTCCCGGCCTTAAAGGCGTGCGCCCTGGTGTCAGCGTGCACCACACAGCCACACTGTTCTCTGACAGACGGGTAGTGTCTCACCCCAGACTCCAGCGCGTAGCTCCACTGGGCAGGGTTCAACTCCCAGGGGCACACTTGGCTCAAGTCGTCTGTTAGAGTGCAAGGGCCGAACACAGGCCTCCTCTGTGGGCTGCGATGGCCACTTCTCTCTACCCTGTCCACCAAGAAAGCTCTACCTCCTACGTTTTTAACCCGAGGAGCCTGGATGTCTCTGCTGCAGTCCAGAGATGGGTGGTCCGGCTGTCTGGCTGATGCTGGTTGGTATCCCGGCCCACCGTGATGGCCATACGGCTGCTCATAGTGGACACAGTGCTGGCAGGGGCAGGGTGCGGGGTTGCTCTTATTCTGAAGAAATCGATGGTGTCCCGTTGTTTGTGCGTTTTCTGTGTACATGTCCAAAGAAGTCCAGAGGATTGCGTGGAAAAGGCGTTAGAAAACAACTGGCTTCCTCCCCTCCCTGCTCTCTCCAACCCAGTCATTCACTCCCTCTGTTTTCCTCATCTGCGTCTTCCCACAAGAAAACTTTTTCTTCAGCTCTTTTTTTTCTTTCTCTCTACCCAACACTTCTCCCTCCCCTTCCTTCCTGTCTGTTGTTTCCCCTTCTCTTTCTCTTTCTTCTTCTTCTTCTGCTTCTCCTCTACTGCAGTCTCCGCACCCGTTCTTTTCCTTCCCTGGACACACGCTCTCTTACTTCTCCCAACTTTTTCTTACTCCTTCTTCTTCCTTACCCTGCAGCCCTCTCTCCTACACTGGGCCCCTCTCCCTCCCTCTCTCTGTCTGTCTCTCTACCTCTCCCGCCTCGTTGTTCTATCTCTAAATTTGCTGCTGCAGGCTTCTAGTCTCTCTCTCTCTCTCTCTCTCTCTGGCTGTGTATTTCCCGTTTCCTCCCCTCCCCTCTCCTGCTCTCCTCCTTTTCTCCACCTCTTACTCTGTGTCTTGCCTCTGGTTTATTCTCTCACATACTCTGCAGTACCTGGATCTGAGCTCCTTCTGTCTCCACCCCCTGAGATCCAGGCTCCTCCGGTAAGGGACTCCATGTGGGGCTCAGTCTCTCAGATAGTGTGTGAAGTGCGTCCTCCGCTCATTAGCCCAACTAAAGCCTTTTCACTCTGCAATTAAACACTGTCTGGGATTCTGTAGCCAGAGACTGAGAGAGGAGGGGAGGAGAGGGGAGGAGAGACGCACCGGGGGAGGTGGGGTTTCTAACATACACAGACGAGGGAGTCGACAGCCCTCTGAGTCAAGGAGACAGAGCCACTGCTTTTGTACAAGAGGAACATTTCCATTTTTCTGAGTCTCCTTCATTTTTCTACCTCTCTCCACCGATTCGTCCCATTGTCTCGGACAAAGTGATGTCACCTCAACAGTTGAGTAAAACTTGGTCAGCGTAGTGGCTCTGGATATAGGAAAGCCCCCCCCCCTCCACCATACAATAGCTGTGTGTGCTGTCAGAGATGTCAAGCTATGCGTTAAAGCCATGTTGGACTGAGCATCCATTTCATTACAAATCTATCTGTGCTATACACAATCTCTATATAAATGGGACAAAAAGAACTCCCTCGCTCAACATTGAAGAATGATAAGCAACCAAATCTAAAATAGCATGAGGCGTTTATGTTGCAGCTCAGCGACAAAGGACATCAAGGCGTTTATTTTCAAAGAAAATAACCAGAGCTTTGAAAACTATGTGTGGTAAAAAAAATAAAACGACTGGGAATCACAACAAGATAAAGAGGGTTTATGCATCCCAGCAGGGGGATGAGCTGCAGTCCAGTCACAGCTGCTGGGAAAAAACGAAGCTGCAGCATCTATGCATTAACACATACAACAGATATCCTCACAGGAGAGTGATGTGAATCGAAATAAAAGGCATCAAATCTCCAATGACTGATTTGTTTGGCCTCTTCGAAGAACACAGTCACCAGGTGGGGATCTAGATGCTTTAGCCTCACTTTGGTCATGTCATCCATCTTTATATATTGTTTGTAGATTGAACCTAAACTGTAAATTTCTGTGCCCTGAAATCAAAACAAGGAGCTGAAAGATCGTAAAACATTCCAGTGTGCAGAGTCAGTTGATTTTTCTCTGTGGGCTTAAAAACAATCCCACAAGTCATTTGGTCTAATGTTAATATAAAAATATTGATCATAGCAGCTTTAAAAATCAGGACAGAGTCTGTTTTCAGTGAATCACTAAATCAAATGCTTGATAAATTAAAGGAAATTACAAAAATCCAGTTCTGATTTGAAAATATTTGGCCGAAATTGCATGAATAGCATAATGAACCAAGAGAAAGAGGCAGATACCAGAAAGAAAACCTGTCATCGCTCAGCGCTTTGATATTGTCCAACAGTTTAATTGATCTTAGTACTTTGACTACTATTATCACATTCACATTTTATAGTCTCTTAATAAACACAGAAGTGGAGCCACCCACACTAAATTATCCTGACAGGCTCTTTTGAAATTGCATCATCGTTTACATATGAAAACCTGCACTTGTCCTTGACTTGAGCAAAAATCAGCAAAGCAGTATTTCCATCTGAGGGCAACATTTCAGGATCTTTTCCACTCCTGAATTTAAGAACTGCACTCCAACTCTTTGTATCTCATCCATATGCATACGATCCAGACAGAAAGTCGATGAGAGGAGACCTGGCAACACCTCAACCTGTCATCTTAATCTCAGTATTCCTAAATAGCAGTTCCTCAGGCTCATTCTTTAGCTACACGCTCCAGAAGAAATATCAAAAGTTGTAGATGTCATACACCCATACATTTCAATGGGTGTAGCATGTGCGTGTGTGTGTTGCCTCAGAAAGTTCCCAGCTCGCGCATCTCTTACATCACATTTCTTTGTGTGGGCCAGCCCCCTTCCCGCTTCGCTGCATGACTGCGGGGCAACCGCAAAGTAGAGAATGGGAAGCACACTTCACCACTCGCTGCTCCGTGCTCTCACATCCTCGCCAGGGTCAAGATGACCTAATTAGAACATATGGATACTTCTAAATGAGTCTATAACAAGAGCTCAATATGGTGTTGGGGATGTGTCGTATGATTTGTGGCCTATTTACCCTCTGATGCAGCGTCCCACATCACACGATATGTAAATGGTTCCTAATGTTACTGGATTCATGCAAGTTACATTGTAGGTGATATGATTTAGGTTTTGTCTGTGACATCCACATACTCTACAGGCACATTTCAGCGTCATTACCCCGGCTTCCTGTGGGTTATGTTGACTTTAAATTCATTTCAATAAAAGGTTTGCAGGTTATATTCCTGGAATTTTAAACACTATCCCTCAGTGGGTCTGCAATCATGTTAAAATACCGTCAAGACATTGCATGTCAGCCCCGCTGCTTTTTCTTTCCCTGCAGTGAACTTTGAAACAAAGGCAGAATTCCAAAAATAAATAGCACATATAATTATTTACCTTCTGCTGTAAAAGCAAATGTCAGACCAGAGAGTGAAACAGGTAAAAATCCGCTCGGTTGCCTGTGCTAAAAGAAACTGTGTGCAAGTTTTTCTATCAATCAAATACGTCTATCGAGTGTCATTAGGAAGAAATAAGACTTGAAACATCTCTGTGTGTTTTTAAATCATTTCTCAAAACTTATTTTTGCCCAATGGCTTTTTGTTTTTAGCTGCCTTATACTTCTTACTTTATGCTTTGAAACATGTTTTTGTTTGTCCTCTTAGTGAAACGGCTGTTTTGAAGGGTACTTCATGAATAACGTTATACTATTATATAAGTAGTATAAGAATAAGCATTAGTATTATCTTAACCATCAGATTGAATGTGTTCAGCCTACATGATCAGGAAAACAATTTGCAATTCGTAAATTTCCACAAAAACAATATTTTACTTTATTTAACTTGCACCACAAACATGTTTGTCAGAACCTTTTTCTTCCTTTAATTATCAAATATTTACAAAACTAAAGCAGCTATAAACTTTAACCTTTTCTTATTACCGGAAAAATTATAAATTTAAATCTGAACTTTCTGATCAAATAGTAAATTAAACAGATTCATTTTCAGCTTTTGGTATTTGACAGTTTTGGACCCATTTTGATTGGTAGCAAAAGTGTGATCAGGTTCATTACCAGCTCATGTCACCACTCAATAAAAAACCTAACAAACTTCTTAATAACTCTCCAGAACAGATTTAGCAGTGCAAACTTTGCAGACACAGAAAGTTTAGACATTTTCAGAGTCTTGTCTTGAATCAGAAAAGTGAATCATTCATGCAGCGGCTCACATCAATGTTTTAATACGGTGAATGTATAAAATACAAAGAGCACCTGTGTGTCACTGCAGCACTTCTCTGCCTCTCTCTGTACTTTCTCCATAACCACTGCTGCGACTCTAATAAAGAAAATCTATGTTGTGAGTGTACGCCTGAAATTTAGCATATTCATTGCACACTGAGTGGTTTTAATGAGGATGAATAGTTCCTGCGTCTGTAGATGAGGTCAATCTAATTTCACTCGCAAATTATCTCCTATTGTGTGTATTGCACCGCAATTTCCTCAGGAGCCACCATCATCATGTAACAGTCACAGCACAATGTCCGTCCTGCTGCCTTGAAATGAGATGATATGTTTTATGCTCAGAAATGACCAAAACAAAGTGATACCTGACAAATGGAGTATTTAAAATATCAAATATTGGCACGATTCATGCTTAGTCATGGAGACTCCCCCCCTGCAGCCAAGAATGAAGTGGGACTGAGGCGTCTGACTGAAAGGATGGAGCAGATTGGAGATTGCGTTAGACTGTTAGAGACACCTTTAACCCCCTAATGCACAAGAAGTACTTCATCAGGGTGGACACAGCGTCTATGCAGAGTAAAGACACACTCACTCCAAAAGATCGTGAAATTGACCATGCACCCGCGTCCTGTCCAATAATCCCAGTCTCTCTCGGAGAATATGGAGAAAGAACAGATTTTTTAACTAATTCACGTTTGGGATTTCTTGTTGTTATTGTGAAAGTTAAGTTTTCATTCTCTCTCTGTCGGGTTTTCACATGTGATTCGAGTGTTTAAATGTCAAAAAACCATTGAAGCAGGACTAAAGCGACTGAGACAAGTGAAAGCGGCCAGAAAAACTGTAGTCAGAAGATATTTCTCCACCGTGAGATTTCCAGACTAGTGACAGCGCTGAGCCCATTTTAAAGAAAACCCTGTTAGATCTAACACCCAGTGAGGTCACATCTTATATCAGTGCACGTCCTGATTTTAGGGAACACAATGGTAACGTTGTTCCAAAGAGGATTATAAAACAATTCCTATTTTCCAAGCCAGGAAACTGCAATTGCATCATGCCACAAAAACGCTGTGTCATGCAAATCACAGCAAACATTTTCTGTGATTTTCGGTTAGAATTGGCTGAAGTTGTGTTGTTGGAGTGAAGCGAAGTTGAGACTCGGGATGCTCTAACAGACACGAGGTGGGATATTAAGCAAATCACTTCTGTCAACTCTTTGCACAAGATTGGATAATTATTGTCACAAGACAAAATTTACTTGCTTTTCATCTACCCTGTTAAAATGAATTGTCCTTGAGACGGTTCCACATGGTGAGTCATCAGAGGCAACTTATCACACAATGCACTGTACATACTGTGAACCTGCACAAAGCTTAAAAGACCTCAGGGTGCTGTAGCTAATTTGTCTTTATATGCTGAGCATCAAGGACACCACGCGGGAGCCTGCTTTTAAAAAAAGGCCTGAAATCCCAATGACAATGGCAAAAAGCACTAATGGACAGGATAATGATGGAGGGGAGTGAGTGTTGCCTTGAGAAGCACAGCAGAGGTGGCTCACCGGAAGCTGTTGCCATGGCTGACAGTAAGAAAGTAGAGGAAAAAACATATTCATTTTTCCCTTGTTG